CTTGCCACAATCACCTCTAAGTCCACAAACTCCTCGGCGATATGATGAGGAAGAATCGGCTCCTGTACCTCTACCGTACCAAGACCATGAAGGCCAAGATTTACCTGAAGTTCGCACTCCTTCACAGCTTCCTACTACTAAGAATATTGATATCGATCTTCGCTGGACTGTTCTTTGTGATCTATTCTTGACTTTGATTGCAGACTCAGTTTATGATGCACGATCTAGAACTTTATTAGAAAAGGTTGGTGATAATATGGAAGTTTCCTGGTTAGAAATCTGTCGTTTCGAGAAACGAGTGACAGATGCCTTGGAAATGCAACAAGCAGCCGAAAAGGAGAACTGGAATGAGGATGATCATAAAGAGAATAGGAGAAAAATGGCTCTCAACAAAAGATATTTGATGATGGGTCTCGCTACCGTTGGTGGAAGTTTAGTTATCGGACTTTCCGCAGGTCTCTTGGCACCGGTTATAGGAGCAGGTCTCGCTGCTGGTTTCACTACCATCGGTGTAGCAGGTACTAGTGGTTTCCTTGCTGGTTCTGCAGGTGCTGCTATCATCACAACGGGTGCCGCTACTTCAGGTGGTATCATTGCGATCAAAGCCGCAAATCGTAGAACTGGAGCAGTCAAAACTTTTGAGTATAGGCCATTGCATAACAACAAGCGAGTCAATTTAATTGTTACAGTCTCGGGATGGATGACGGGTAAAGTCGATGACGTACGCTTGCCATATAGTACGGTTGATCCGATCATGGGAGATATATATTCCGTTCTTTGGGAGCCGGAAATGCTTACAAGTATGGGAGATACCATTAATATTCTAGCAACAGAGGTAAGGTTTAATTTTCTCAGCACATACGGTATATACTAACGTATTTAAGGCTTTAACTCAAGGTCTTCAACAGGTTCTTGGGAGTACCATCCTTATTGGTTTGATGGCTGCTTTACAATTACCGGTCGTTTTAACTAAACTATCATATCTCATCGATAACCCATGGACGGTTTCTCTTGACCGTGCAAATGCAGCAGGTCTCATTCTTGCAGACTCGCTTATTGATCGAAATCTTGGTACAAGACCGATCACTTTCGTGGGCTATTCCCTTGGTTCTCGAGTCATTTTCTCATGTCTAAAAGAACTCGCCAGGAAAGGCGCTTATGGATTGGTTCAAAATGTTTACCTATTTGGTTCACCTAATGTGGTGAATCAGGACGACTACCTAAAAGCTAGATCCGTTGTGGCTGGTAGATTTGTCAATGGATATGCAAGGAATGATTGGATTCTAGGGTATCTTTTCCGTCTTACTAGTGGTGGTATTAGACGTGTAGCAGGTCTTGCACCGGTCGAGAATGTCCCTGGAATAGAGAATGTGGATGTTACTGATCTGGTACCGGGACATATGGCATATCGTACTGCCATGCCCAAACTTCTTCGAGAGGTGGGATGGGAAGTTGAGAGCGATGAATTCACTGAAATCGAAGATCCGGACCCGGAAAATCATGCAGAGAGACAGAGGGAACTTATTAATGAAATCGAGGAAGCCCGAAAAGAATTCGAGAAGAAAGAGAAAGAAGGAAAAGGAAGATTTAGTTTCTTCGGTCGTAAGAAGAAATCGGCCGTCGAACGTAAAGAATGGGAGACATATGTAGAAAGTTCAAAGAACGAGCAGAGTCGTGATTCAAGTCGATCTAGGACAGAGGATAGCCAAGGAAATAATCATGGTATTCTCTTCGATATCGATGCTATTCGTGCAGAAGTCGCCAGTGGAGTTGCTGCCGATGGTGGTAGTAAAGAGCATATGGAGGTTAAAGAACTTAAATCCACACTTCCACCTATGAAACTCAACCTCGCCTCTTCATCTAATAGTCCGCAATCCAGTCCACGCAATTCTCTTCGACCAACAAAAAGCGACGATGCGAGTACAACATTACATGCGTATGATTATCGTTCGCCAGGTCATTCTCCTCGTCCTTCGAATGGATTTGGTGCAGGCTCAACATATTCGTATTCAAATTCGAATTCTCGACAAGATCTCTCGAGACATTCACCATATCTAGCTCAGGAACCTGAGGAAGAACTTGAGATGACTTTTGATACTGCGTATCATTCTCCTCCCCATTCGGCTAATGTTAGTAGTACGAGATTACCTGAAAGAGGGCATACAAGTTTCCATTCTTTAGGACATGTAGCTGATGGCAATGGTGGGTTTGGAGGTGGTTTCGATGGTACTGGATCGAGTATTGCAAGACCGGAATTAAAATCGGCTTCTACATTACCTGTTGGAATGGGGACAGGGGTGGGAGTCGGATTGGGTTTGGGGGGTGATGGGAATGGGATTGGGATATGTGGCGGAAAAAAATGCGTGGGCGGATGATGATGAGGATGAATTTGCCGGGGGTGGGGGTGAGGAGGAAATTGAGATGACTTTTGCATAATTGGATTTGATTTTGATTTTGATCTTGCGCTTTTTGGGTGCGGGGTGCGTGCATTGCATTGTATGGATGGGATATTTTATGCGTATGGGTGGGTTGGCTGTTGCGTGAATCAATTCAAATCAGAATAGGCGGGTGAAAGGGTTGAAGATGGGAAGAAGAAAGAGAGAGAGAAAGAGAGAAAGAGAGAAAGAGAGAGACTTAATGTGCATATATATATGGATATATGGGTTAGCGTGGAATAATTGTATGCATGGATTGATTGGTATGGTATGATAGTATAAAGTATTGAGTATTAAGTATTCGAGCATGCAATTGAGATGGATGTTGATGGCGATGGGTTGATGGTGGTTTAGTAGGAGTAGGAGTAGGTAGATGTGCAAATACAGAAGATACAGATAATACAGATACAGATACAGATGAACCATGTATATCATATCATGTTATTGTGAAGGAGTTGGGTGTCAACTCGCGTTGTTTGAGTCTTTGAGAGTTGTTGTGTTTGCGTGGGTGTGGGTGTGGGTGTGGGAGGGAGAGGGAGAGGGAGAGGGAGAGGGAGGAGATTGTTTGTAGTTGTGTAATTACTTGCTTTTTTGGTATTTGGTTGCTGTTTGCTTGGGTCTTTTCTTAGGTTTGTTTTTGAATTTGTTTTTGGATTTGTTCTTGAATTTGTCTATCTTTACATCCTATCTTACAAATTCCTATATATACACTCACTCGATGTCATACGAATGATTAATGTAGAGAGTGAGATATAAGTTACAACAACTGGATGGGTTGTTATAGAGGAATGCGAAGTATTGTATCAGTTTACATATAATTAGATTGGGATTAGATCAGGATTGGATTGGGATTTAATCGGGATTAAATTATATCAGATTGACATCATCGGGATGAACACGGTAAAGTCGGGATTAGAGATAGGCTTTAGTTTGGGAAGAAGAAAGGGGGTGGGGTGAAGTGGTGAGGGGGGACGAGGATGAGGATGGGGATAGAATGGAAAGAAACAAACAAGAAGATTGATGGAGATTTGTGTGGGGTGTATGTATATGTAACGGAGGGTTGGAAGAGGGGAAAGGGGAAAAGGGGGGTGTTAGTGCTAAGCGACTGGCAAGCGGTTTTGGGGCTGATCAGATGGGGTTGTGGTTTTGAGAGGAATCCGATCAAGGATGTAGAGATGGTGTCTGATTGAAAGTATTGGGACTTGGGGGAGGGAATTGTGGGTTTTGATTGTAGCTGTGGTTGTAGTTGTGGTTGGTTTTTGAATGGGAGAGATGGACGAGTTGATCACTTGTTACTTCGAGGACAGTTAGATATTCGAAATTTGGATTTCTCAAAGTTTTGGCTGAATATTAAGGTGGTTGAATGTCGACAAAAAGCAATCATCATATGCGCTGTGACAGTGATAGAGACAAGATTAAAGAAGTCTGGGCAGTCATTGCTCAAGAATCTAACACTTGAGCTGTGATGTTAACATTATTGTAATCATTCTTCGTGTCAAGAGCTCGTTATATGCTAGTGCAATGATCATTGCTTATTCTCTTGTAATTTGTATGGAGCGAAGAATATTACTTTTGCTGCGCGAATTTGTTCCCGAATCTACTATCTAGTGCTCAAGTGTCTATATCAAGTAATGAACAGAAACATTCCAACTCTAGAAAAGAGAGGGAGTTTGAGACATCGTAGGCAAGATTCTCGGGAGAAAAAGCTGTCGCGATCACAGATCAAAGGATAAGAGTAAGAGTGAAAAATTGCCAGTTTACCTTGAACTAATGAGATCAATGATGTCGATTCTATTAATAGATTTCTCAATATAATATCATCATACTAGGTAGAAAATGTAACTCGATTGTTGGTCTAAGACCCAGGAGACACGTCGATACAAATGGATCAAGGTTGCTTTGCAGGTCTGATACAAACTATTAAAGATACTAGATGAGAGAGAGTCTTGAGTATTCGGAATCCACAAGTTGTTGGAGACCTTGAGGTGTACGAATAGCGAAAGCTATCGAGAGATAGAGATGTGTAATTTGCAAGCTGAAATCCGCAATTGAATTATAGTAATTTCACTTTGATAGGGCGAGGATTTGGAGAATAAAGTTTAACTCTTCGTTGTGTGTTGGAGTGGAAAGAGTAGAGATGATGTTTGGAAAAATTCAAATTTTTACAGGTTGTTCAGCAATTCGATTTACAGCATGTATTTGTTCTGCACCTTCTGTTTGTTCTGCACTTTCTGTTTGACGTTGAAGTGTATCTCAAGTCCAGTTTCAAGTTCAAATTCGTACCTAGCTAGTTCTCGGAATGATCTCCTCTCCATCTCAGAAGTATCCAATACCATTCTAGGGTTTGAGAATGACACAACATTCCTTGATCTTTAATTCTTCAAACTGACTGCGCATCCGTAATTTCATCAACCATTCATTGCCGAACTTATTCTCGATATAGGATTGGCTACTCTATTTTTCTTCAAAACCTTATTAGAAAAGAGAATATCACTATACCGCACACAAAAAAACACTTCTACAATCTTCCAAACTCTCTCGTTAACAAGCACACCAAATATCACCATGCCAAACACAGATCACTACATTCTCAAACGCAGCGGCTGGCTCATCCTACTGTTCTTCACCCATCTCTCCGCATCTTGTCTCCGCAACAGTTTCTACCGCGATTTTCTCATTGCCAATTTCGAGAACCATCCTCCCTCAGCTTACATGTGGGCTTATGAGCTCGCGTGTTTTCATTGTCGAGAGCGGAGTCAGAGATGGGAAGAACGAGCGAAGACCGAAGGAATCAAGACACCTTTTGGGGTTTTTTTATTCAAGGCTGAGCATGAGGATGAGAAGATGGCGGCTGCTATTGTGAATGGGGCTGTGGGGAGTTTTTTTGCAATAGGATGTGTGGGGCTGTGGAAGACGAGGGGGGTTTGGGGGTGGTGGGCGGTTCCCACGGGGTTGGAGCTCTGGGCGACTTTCGTTGCGGACTTTCATTGGGTGGTGGAAATGGGGTGGACAAGTTGGAGGAGTTGGGGATACTTGATAGTGATGAGGAGGAGGAGGATGATGATGAAGATGAGGATGATGACGAGGAGGATGATGATAATGAGGATGAAGACGAGGAACATGATATTCTACTTCCTCTCTTATGGATAAATGATTGAGGTTTTGAAGTATCAACGTGGGATTATGGAATTGATATAAAGTAGCAGAGGCTATTCCTCCAGCTACATGGTCTCTTGGAAAAATAATTCTAATTCAGCTGTGTTCAGCAATGAAAGCTATAATTTAACCTTTTCTTGGCTGTAGAGCTTTCTGCAGCCAAGCTTGGTGACTATTCCGCCCATAATATACTCCATATCTGCGTATCGTTCTTAGAAAAGAGCTTTAACAGCAGGACTGCATTACTAACTCCTCAGCCCCTACGGATTTTGAGCCTAGTGTACATGCTATACACCACTCTCAAATCCTTCCTAAAATGATATTCGAACAACTCTAATGATCTCCCCCATTACGTCTATCAGCATCATCTACATCCTCCAGTGTATTGTCTCCCCTCTGTAACTCTTCTGGCCCCATTCTTCCCCAACCACTGATATACTCCACCTATAACTCCTGACCCTTCCTAGCTATCGCACAAAAGTGGTCCGGTCGACGGTGTTGACAACGATCATCGATATCCATCATTATGGGAAGATCAAGAACGCCTAAGACAACGAGAATCATACGAGTTTCAAACTCTCGGCTGTTAACAAAGGATAAGCTCGACTCTTCCCACCTTTGAGAGATTTAAATCATTAACATAACAATTTGAAAAGGTGGTCGAGCTATTTAAACAATATAATAATAATAAATTCACTGGTGTAGAATGTGGCTGATTGTTCGATATCATTCAGTGAAACCATAACCTACATTCTCGGTACATAATCTGATTTGAATTATACACTCGAATTCCACTTAGAAAATGAAGAACTGCGAAGCGTGATAGAAATTTCCAGTCTGCTATAAATATGAAAATATCTCGTAAGTTATTTCAGTAAAACATTTCAAAGAACAAAGAGGATGCGACACAAATATACGAAATGACGTTCAAACTCATGCATCTCGAGCCGAACCGAGTCGGCACTGATCATATGCTCCCCCACGAGCCCATAAAAGCCAACAAAAGCCTCTGCGAGCTTTCCAACCATTTATATTTCACCACACCCCTTCAAATTAAGCACAGCTCATTCACTGAGCTGACACAGCATTTCCACAGTTCTATTAACTCACTTAATTCACCATTTATCACCCGCTTCAATCAGCTCGTAAATAGCAGCTGACCCTAAATATCACGATCACCATATCTCAAATTCTTCAAAACAACCTTCTGTCACTCGAAGTCGATATGCGCCACTTATAAGTCGTCCTCTCTTTCCAAATCCATCAAGACCAAAATTATTAGTCGGAAAATTTTCCTCAAGCTATACTCAAAATGCCAGATATATCACGCAACCGTATCGAGATTTGGCGGAGCGAAGTTGAGTCGCAAACATCATCGCAATCAGGTGTGGCAGTAGAAATGGGTTGGAATGCACCGGTTGTGCGACCAAAGAGCTTTTGGAGGCGGGTACTCGGATTGGGATATAGCGGCAGTGGCAGCGGGAGCGGTTCTGGCCGTGGTAACGAAGTTGGAAATGGAAGTAGGAGTGGAAGCGGAAGCGGAAGCAGAAGCAGAAGTGGGAGCAGCAGGAGCGTGAGCTTAGGCAGGAAACTTGGATTGGTGAAAGGAGAGATCGAACGAACTGGGATGTATACTTTGAAGATCAAGGGAGATAAGGATGAGCTCGAAAGAGGAAGGAACTTGGTGGGGAGAGAGAGAAGCGGAGAGAGGGATGAAGGAAGTAGTATGGAGCTTGATGGTAGTGAGGAAAGTGTGAGGGGTGGGTTGAGGGAAAGAAAAAACAGGTTAGAGAGGGCAGCTAAGCTGTTAGGAAAGAATGAAGGAACGAGGGAGAATAGACAGAGGAGTTAGATTGTCTTGTGCATGGTGTCTTGATAAATGGTTGGGATTGCAAAGATGAGTTGCGATAAGTTGTAATGGGTTGCGCTGCAGTATTTGGCGGATTGGATAACATCATTCATGACACAGGAGGATTAGGATTAGCATTGGACAGATTGGTGGCCTATGTACTACAACCTCAAATAAGGTCACACGGAAGCTTCCAAGTACCTCAGGATTAAGCCAATATCATCAACTCTGACCAAACTCCTGGCTGTAGATTGTTCAAACTCAGTTGGTGACTCGAGTCGTGAAATATTCAATGGGACTTCTAAGCACTAGCTATGAGAAATGAGATTTGAGATATGAATAAAGAAATGTTCAGATGATAGTTTGATTGATAAAGGCTCCTAGATAGGTCTTTATATACCTACCTACTCAGGTAGTAAAACTTCACTCCTTTTTATTCAATGTCTCAACGTTACCATAGTATCAACCTCAAGAAAATATGGGAGATAAATGGAAGTGTTGTTTACATCACATGACCAGATATTGATTTCTAACCAGCGGCAAGAACCAACTCCGACACCTTTTCCATAATAATAATTTTAGTCCTTTGGTTCTGCATCTTTGTTGCACCTTATCTACAGACAGAAAAGATGTCGAAAACAGTTGTTGTTAAGTCACCAGCCGAATTCAGTAATCTACTGAAGACCTCTAAGATTGTTGTGACAGATTGTGAGCTACCCCGCCGAAAGCCCCTCTCATTACGACTTGCCCCTCCATCACTTTTTGCAGTACTACTATGAACTGGTATGGACCTCACTAATGCTTGATCCTTTCTACAGTTTACGCAGATTGGTGCGGACCATGTAAGGCTATTGCGCCTATGTACGAGCAGCTTTCTGCGCAGCTATCACGTCCAAACAAGATTACATTCACAAAGGTCAATGTTGACAACCAGACCGAGATTGCATCCACCTATGGTATCACTGCGTATGTTTTCCCTGTATAGCACATTGCTGAACAAGTGGATGGAGTCGATAGTTCGGGATATTTATACGGAGCATCTGCTAACACAACTTCGACAGTATGCCAACATTCATGATCTTCAAGGGGGGCAAGCAAGTCGAGAAAGTCCAAGGTGCTGATCCAAAGAAGCTACAAGATATTGTGAGAAAGTTGGCTGCAGAGGCAGATGATTCAGGGGATTCTTCGTCGGGATTCGCAAGTGATTCTGGTTCTGGCGATTGGCGCGCAGGAGCTCTTCCAAGAGGCTACAACGATGTGACTGACCAGGTTGATATCAAGGGTCTAGAACTGTTGAACGCCGACAGTGAATTCGGAACTGTGCGAACATTGGTTGATACAAGCAAGCCCAGTGCCTTGTCGAATGGAAAGGCGGCAGGTTCAAAGGTTAAAGACTGGGTTGTCAGTGACACGGATGAGCAGCTCATGTTGTTTATGCCCTTCCAATCCATGTTGAAAGTTCATAGTGTCCAGGTAAGAGGCACTTATTATTTGCGCATAGCTTCCAAGTATTGAGGCTAACCTCCTGTCCCACAGATCACTTCCCTGCCTTCAGCATCTGATAACGAGGATGATGATGATGACGAAGTGCCAATGCGACCAAAGACTATCAAGATCTACACAAACCGAGCTCACACTGTTGGTTTTGACGAAGCTGACGGTCTTCCTGAGACACAAACCATCACACTGGAAGCCAAGGACTGGGATTCGACCGGCACTGCTACATTATCACTCCGCTTTGTCAAGTTTCAGAATGTTACAAGCTTGGTATTCTTCATTGTGGACGGTGATGGAGACAGTGAGAAGGTACGCATTGATCGGATTAGAATTATTGGGGAAACTGGTGAAAAGCGCGACCCAGGAAAGCTGGAGAAGATTGACCATGACCATTAAAGACGATGAAGTATGATTTGTTTACGATGATGAGCGGTATAGTTATACAATGATAGGCATGGGATGGCGTTAACAGATGTGCCTTCTGGGGCGCTTTTGTGCATGGCATTTAAGTAGCATGATTTATGAATCAGCATCATGAAGATATCCTTTTCCCGCGAAATTGGCCTTTATATTGACGTCGATGACTATAAGTGATTGTAATAATTTCAATTGAAATACTAAGCTACAATATATTTTCCAAAAAACGATGAAAATAAGACAAACCGAATCTGTTCTAATCTAGTCGCAAGATTCTACCTTCACTGGCGCGCGACCTGAAGTGCGTCTTTGGATGCTACCCAGACAATTGTGACTGTCCGCCAAGATTCTTGCAGTCCATCAAATCTGCTTCTGCTTCGACAACCAACACGATATTAAAATAAAGAATGTCCGAACTCTCTCCATCCTCTCACCCACCAACCGTTATCCGTTGGGCCCTTTCAGACAAACCGACGAACACAGCCTGAATTCTCGACGAAAAGTTTCGAATTCGCGGAAAGAGGTTAAAGAGAAAGCAGCGGTTGCAATTGAGATCGATCTATGGTACCATTGACACTCGTTAACATCATGGCGAGCAGATGCGCGAAAAACACGAGGTACCAAGCCGCACTTAAAAAATAAGTTGGAGAAAAAAGAGGTCTCTAAACGTGCGAGGAAATTTTCTTATATCTCACAAATTTTGGCGGGTCCGAGCTAGTTGGAAGGCTAGGCTGAATAGAGATTGGTGTAATTTTGACAATATCTTGATGCCTTAGGTTTTAGGTCAGTGGGACAGCTCGAGGACAGCTCGAGGACAGCTTATTTATTATTCTCCGACGTCCCGAATCTCGAAAGCTTGAGTTCCCGACAATTTCTCTACGTCGTACCTACTAGGTATTTTCACAACCTGGGCGACTTGCCACGCTAATTTTGACTTCGTAGGCATCCATTTAACTACTACTAGTCGAGCTAGTCTATCGTCCAAATGATGATGAATCTAGAATTCTAAAAGTCTAAAAGTCTAGATTTCGTCAACCAAAACTCTATTTCGAGAAGAACCACCACAGTGGCATACACACACAGCATACATACACATACAATGTTGAACAAGTATAATATCGAACAAGTTTGATATTATAAGTTAGGATACTCAAGTTCCAGTATTTGATACCTACGTGTCCATTCACTCATATCCATCATTTATCTAGTTATCTTTAAGGTTGATTGCTAGCTGGGTAGCTAATCTTCATTAGCAAGGCACCTTGATATTTTCAGATCTTGTATAGTATGTCACATGTGGGCTAGGTAGGTCATTATAGCGTACTTCCAACATCTCCAGTTACTGATCTACAAAGTTAATTTTCTATGCATCACAGTCTTCCAGACTGTACTTCTTTAATTGGTTGTAAGAGTATTGCAAACCATTTCACTTCTTCGATCAGCTGGAGTATAATGGAAACCGACATTATAGCTGAACTGAAGCAGTCAAAAGATGCCATACGAAATACAATGGCTTCTTTATCATTATGGGCAGTGCGGGTGTCCTGTCCCTGTCTCCCGTGAGAAAAAGCAATGCTTGGACCACATCATCATCATCGTCAGATCTTCTCCCTGAGCTCCAGGTGGACGATCAACAGTCAACTAACTACTTTGTATCTATCTTGGCTAGAACGGACCGTCCTTGAACCACTAATATGCGATTTGTATTTCGCTATACAAGCTTTCTCCATTGAAAAATTGTCATGCTTGTGGTTTGATGACCTACTTGCGCGCGAAGAGTACAGTAGTCAACATGACAGAAGCCCGGTCTTCCCAATCATCGATCTGGCTTAAGTGCCGTTTTGCTAATCTGAACCCTCTTTATGATAATGTTGTGCATGATGGGTGACCCTAGCCTAACCCTAGACCATGGAAATCAGAGGAGTTCACACCACCTTTACGTTCCACTTCAAGCACCTCCATAATCCAGTTGAAAGAGATATTGTTTGCATCCAAAGCAAACTTCTGATTCCACTCTCCTCCGCAACCTTTAAATCTCGACGCTGACTGCGACCTGCTGAGCCGGCACCTGCACGTACACAGAGGGTGCAGTTTTCACAAATACCGGTTCCGGAAAGAGCGACCAGCTGGTCACCACTTTGGCTGGGTGTCTTAAGAATTGAACACTTTCTGAGGAATTCACAAACAAGACCCGAGTGATTCGAGGCCAGATCTCCCACACTCAAAGTGCAAAACAACAGCATTTGATACTCAGTGCACCTGATTGACGGCCATTCCTCCTCGACCCGATGACCGATCGACTTTATGTACCGCTCCGGTCTTTGTGGCCAAATCATGTAGATCAACCCTATCATCATGCCTCTCATGCCGGTTTCTTACAGCGCAAATCTATCAAATATCATCCGTCTATGCGTTCGAAAGGAGGATGCTGGTATGCCTTTCGTCTATCCGGATTTTGTACACCAACTAATTCAAGTGTAGGACATGTAGAGCTCGTAGTTCGTATTCTACCGCATCCCTCCAAACTTTCCATACTGGTGACTACAGCTAATACTTTTCGTTGCATAGAGGTCAAGTGTGACGAAACAAAGCCCACATGCACAGTCAGTAGCTATTCAACTGGGATCATGCATTGTATCATATTACTGACACATCTCTAGCAATGTCGTCGTCTATTTCATCATTGGTACAGCCTCATCTTCTCTGTGTGTAGATAAATGACTGACCAGCACAGTGACTGGGAACCAAGACTCACTTTCAAGCATGAAACAAACAAAATTGTAGCCCGTACGACAGGGGTTTATTTGGACAGTAGCTTGGTCTGGAATCGTATGTTTAACGGAACTACCTTGTTCTCAAAAGTCTTATTATTGACATCTTCAGCATCCGCTTCGGTTGCGCCTCCCCAAAACAACAAACCAAAGGAACCTGACACACTACCACCCTATGCCGAATTGCCAAGCGACGAGCAACGTGAGAAGAAGGCTTCCTATTATCCACCGGGAACTTTTACTTTAGCCTTAATGCCGCATAGTTTTCATGACTTAGCAGAGTACCACACCAAAAGCTCACGCCCGAATGGGTTTCGTAAGAATAGATATCCTTCCGCCCAGCGGTTCCAGTCAACCAGGCCAGATGTCGTTATCCTAGATAGATTTGAAGGATTTTCGGGTAGTCGTTGCCAGTCAGAAAATCCACTCTCCAGGAAAGCCAGCATGGAAAATGTTTTATCTCCCGGCGGGCTACCCACCACACTTGTGAATAGAGACACAGACTCACATCTACTGGATCATTATCGGAATGTACTGGCGAATCAAATATGCTGGTTGGCTGAACAAGTTTCGGGGCCAGATATATTTGAAAGATATTCTGCAGATTACTCTCCTGTGAGTGAAAACAATGGCATCAAATCCAGACACTAACTTATAGAGAAGTTGTATCTCGCAATACTAGCTTTGTCTTCCCTAAGTCTATCTCAATTGAATCATATACCTTTTGAGGACGTTTTGTGAGTCAGCCTTGTCATCATCGTGAGAATGCACAAATTAAATTGGCAATCCTGGTACTTGACATTGAGAGCTAATATCAACGGAAGGGAACGATACCACATGGTCATTACCGCGTTGGGCAATTCGGTTAAAACTGAGGAAGACGCCCGTTCTGACGGGGCGCTATTCACGCACTATTTACTGTTACTGTTCGAGGTAAGTCAAAGAAGCACTTCGCATTCGAGGTAGAATCATGATTGATATCTTTGAACCTTTGACAAACACACTTATTAACGAATGGTGCAAAGGTTGCTGCGACCGGACATCGTACATTGAACATGTGGGAACAGCATTCCTCCAGAATTCAATCTATTCTTCAGCTTCGACAGAAAGCTTATGGCAAGGAGCCACATGGATTCATTATTGTTGTAAGTGTAATGAAATGTTTGTTCTTGGATTCAAAATCCAGACCCCGGCCTTATGCTTCGGTACCCACTCTTCAAGACATCAAATATTCCTGATTGGCAAATTTGATACCAGCTTCCCATGATGGAATCAGTACAACATTCAAAGCTAGTCCCGTACCTCAAATCATTCGAAGTTTCTGAATGTACTCGACCATTGAAAACCCTGATTGTAGGCGACTTGCCGTCTAATTGTATTTGCCTCCATAATAGACAATCACTAATATGAATATCTTAGTATACCTTATATGTTGACATGTATGCTCTTCTGACCACTACTGGCACTGGGTCTTTCAGCAAAACCATTATTGAGCAAAACATGCTGCCACCTCCCGAAGACGCTCTGGAGAACCAATCGATCAACATGATTATTATGCCGGAAGCATTTCGCCAGATGCCTGATTTGTTGAGGATGAATCGAGAACTAACTCTGATTGCCCTTGAAATGGCACAAACGGGACGGGCATTGAAAGTTGAACAACAAGATCTCTCAAAGCCCAGACTCGAAGTGAACATGGATGAATGCAGATCCATGCACGAGTTGCACATACTTCTGATGGAATTCCGTGAAACTTGGTCTAGATTTCTAGAGGCGAAGACACCGGAAGAAAGCTGGCTTCGCGAATTGGCAAAACTTCCAAGCGGACCATTTACTTGTAGAACACATGTGAGTTCCCTCAATTCAATGCAGAAGGAACCCCATTGACAGAGTTAGGTACACTTATTTTATCGAGCTTGCAAAATCTACTATCACACAAGTATGTATCAAGGTCAATCGTTGGTACTAGCAGCAGAAGTGGAAGAACAACTCTCTACATGTGCCAGAGAGATAATCTTGATAACCAAGATGATGATAGATCTAGGGTGTCTTGGGTCTAGATTCATAGTATTCCCTATTTTTATGGCAGGTATGGCATCTCGGGTGACGGAAGAGAAACAAAGTGCTCTGGCATTTCTTCGCAGATTGGAAGAGACAAGCTTTGGCTCGAATACAAAAACCATGAGAATTTTACTCGCGTCGATAATCGAAAAACAGGGGATTGCGATTTTGCAGACGGGAAACCATCTGTGTGTTAACTGGATTGAAGAATTGCAATCGAGTGGACAACAATTAATTATGGTGGGCTTGTAATATTATGGACGGGACGGGATATTGGGCATGGGCTTTGCGGTGTTGGTGGCTTATTACAATGGGATGACATGAGATGGCGTCAAAAACTGATTTGGACAATCAGATGGTCTTGGGTATTTCTGGTTGTTCTGGTCGTTCTGTACTATTAGCTGTAGGGTTAGAACTTAGAACTAGATCAGATAGATTATTCACGATGAGAATATTGTAACAGTAGTAGTCCTTAATACTCATTGCCGTGGATCTGTTGCACACCTTATTTTAGAGCCATTGTATCTGGCTTCTACATCTGCGAGTGGGAGTAGAAATGCAGATAGATACAAAGGCCTCCCCTTCACCCCTTCGAAGCTTTACAATTATTACAATTTATACGGACGATCGTTTTTATATGCTTGTATTACTATTATACTATTGTAGAATTTAGTCTAAATAGAAGGGTATAGAGGGTAAGGTTACATCGCTGTTATGCTATGAAAATGTTTTACGTAAGAATCTTGATATAATGATTTTTTTACAAGCTCTTAAATATTCCTGATTATATAGTTAAATTAACTTCACATATCCCAATTGGGTGATATTGTAGAAAACTACCTCCATTTATTATAGTTTGAGCCTTGTTTTCATGAGGCTGCTGCAACCCGGAGCACAAACCTTTGTCTGTTGTGTGATTGGTTACTATTGCCCCGCCGCCTTATGTTATTAGGTTGCAGAGGGGTGACGATTTCGGATGGTATCGATATCCACATCTCGATGAAACAACATTTAACTCATTTGTACAAAAGAAGCTTTAGGTTGAATTATTAGTTGAAGTCACCACCACTTTTTCACCTGCGAAACTGAACCTCATGAACTGCACGCACCATCTCTAATCATCTTCACAACCTTACGATTCACGAAACTCAACTCTCCTCTCGTTAGCAAACTTTCAACCTCTAGCTTTCAACCGCGAAGGTTTCTAATTATTCCAAATCCAACATCTTTCTGTCACTCCAAATAATCATACCCTTCCTCATCGCATACACAGACACGAATCTAGTCAACCATTCTTCGGCCGATCATTCATCATGGATGACCCCGTCGAAGCTTTTACGTCCATTACAGGGCAATCGGAGGCTGTGGCAAGAGTGTACCTTGGAATGACCGACAATAATCATGAACAAGCAATAGGATTATTCTTCGAAGCGCCAGAACTTGCAAGCCAAAATGCTGCTTCTCAACAGGCGCCGCCACAAATACCTACTTCTACCAGACCACAAAGATCTACGAACCGCGCCCAGCAAAATGCATCTGGGGTAGTCAATTTGGATTCCGATGACGACATGGAGATTGATGATGATAATAGCGATGGTGATTCCGAAACTGCAACAGCTGCCGCTATTGCACGCGCCGCGGAAGTTGAGGACGATGCAGCTATGGCGCGGAGAATGCAAGAAGAGCTTTACAGCGGTGGAGATGCAAGTGGCGGATTCGATGCAGAAGGCGTAAGAGCACCTATTGCCAGAACAACGGAGACGCTTGTTGGTGGGCCCGGGGGGTGGGATGGAGATGATGCCCTGCAAAGTGAAGTCTTGGAGCAAATGAGACTCAGGGCTCAAAGACAAACCAGGGCGGCTGGCGGTGGAGGCTCAGGTAAGGACAATGATTTAAAAAAAAAAATTGATTATTGTTATTTTTTGTACTAATATCGAAACAGCTCGAACAGGAAATCCAGGTGGACGAGCGGCTCCATCAATTTGGGACCAGGAAAACGAAGATACAGCACGAGCGGTTACAGGAGCAGAAGGAACTAGTAAGAGCGCCCGTCTTGCAGAGCTTTTCAGGCCACCATTCGACCTCATGTACAAATTGCCTTGGGATTCCGCTCGTGACGAGGGAAAAGAAAATGGAAAGTGGATATTAGTAAACATTCAAGATAACTCTATCTTTGACTGCCAGTCATTGAATCGCGACATATGGAAAGACCCTGGAGTTAGAGATGTTGTGAAGGAGAATTTCATATTCATGCAGTATTCCAAGGACGATCCGCGGGGCAGCCAATATATTCAGTATTACTTTCCTCAGAAAGATAGCGAGGCTGCATATCCTCATATTGCGATCGTCGACCCAAGGACTGGAGAGCAAGTAAAGGTCTGGTCAGGACCTCCAGTACCAAAGCCTGCAGAATTTCTCATGCAGCTGGTTGAGTTCCTTGATAGATATAGTCTCGATCTTTCCAAGAAAAATCCTGTCGCAAGACGAAAGCTAGAGAAGCCCACTGCGGTAGACGTCAATAGGCTCACTGAAGAGGAGATGCTCAATCTTGCGATGCAAAATAGTCTTGCGAATAACGGATCAACAGGTCCTAAAGCTGATGATCCAGATGACCTCACGAAGAGTTTCGGAGATGTCAGCAAAGGCAAGGGTAAAGAGACTTCAGAAGAGAGCTCAGAGACAGCCGAGCCTTCTCAAAATAATTCAAATTCTAGTGCAGAAGTTTCTCCTTTCTCTCAGATTGCTTCTGACAGACCACACACTGAGCCTGAAGGACCCTTATCACAAAGCACGCGCATTCAGTTCAGACACGCCAATGGTCGTGTTGTTCATAGATTCAGGCTCGATGATACAGTCCGTCGCATTTACGAATGGCTAAAGTCGGATCCACTGGAGGGAAAAGCAGGTGTTCCATTTGAGTTGAGAAGCGCAGGGAAAGATTTGATAGATTCTTTGGACGAAACGGTCAAGGCTGCGGGACTCAATAATGGGACTGTGATGGTTGAATTCATCGAGGAGTAAATGTTTTGAGAGTTTTGGCGATTAATTGATACCAGAGAGATTGCTCGCATCGCAGGGCGAGATAATAATGAGCTGTTCACAACGTACATGGAGAAATACGCTTACTCCCCTGAAGTTGCTGGCCCATTTCTTCTCATAAAGAAATTCACATAGGGAGGGGCTTTCCCTTTTCTTACTTCGGCAGCTCATCGTTGTACATAGACGGACGGGACTTGCCAGCAATGCAAGGATTATCGGGTTCCTGGGCTATAGATTTATGGGAATGAGAAACGAAAATATCATGATATGAAAACAATTTTATTGGCATGATAGTAGTGACACTACTAATGAAGTTCTAGATCCTTGAATTATTAGATTGATATAACTCTTGGATGTTGCTTGAGTGACGTTTATGACATACAGTAGTAACCGCCGGGGGCCATACGCTACGCTTTTTAACCCCTGAAATTATTGACGTTTGGCGAAGTGGGCAAGTTAAGCTCCTTGGTTTCAACCAATTGGTTCAATGAGGTGGTTGGCTGGTAGACAAGATGCATGAAATGACAACAAAGACCAGTCATTTCGTGAAAATAATAAGCAATAATATGTTTGTTTTTCTAGGATATCGATTTGTTCCTGATTCTTTAATCTCAAATCTGGGAGTGCATAAGAGCAGAGTCATAATTATCATTAAATCAATAAAAAACAAATTTCTCAACTCAACTAGGCCCATTCGTTCCTCAACAGCCAATGCATGCCTAGGTACCTTCCCCAGATTGATGAAACAATACATATCCATCCATATATCCATCCATCCATACGTACTTATATCTCTCTATCCCGCGTCCACCTCTAAGGTTATTCGTGCATGCCGCTTCCCATAAGTTGCATTCCTTTAGATAGCTACCTAGCTCAAGTTGCTACTTCTCTTCCATTTCTACACAATCATTTTTCTTACTCCTTTGCGAAGAGCAAGGTCTACGTTTACGATATTTACGATTCTAAACACCACGACAAGCTTCGACATTCAATCTCTCTCTTCTCTATTTGATATAGTGATACACTCCCTCGGTAGCCGTTGACCCCACCATACCATACCGTACACCGCGTTCACAGGACCAGATCGCGATCCCTTTGTCCCTCTGCAGAAAAAAGGACGAGACGGAATCAACAAATCTTCTTCTGACCATTCGTATGTGCGACGATAAGTTATAACAAAGTAGAACTGATTGTGCCTGATACCTTGGACGAGAGGTCAAATCAATTCACTACTACAGCCCTTCCCAGGGTTTGGAGAGCGACTAAATATCGGCGGGGTGCTCCCAGTAAAACGCGGACAACAAACCGACAACTCAACCTGAAATCAGCAGTGGCGTTATCTCATTTCTCTTTCCAAATCGAATCGATTTTTGATTTTGAGTGATGGCGCATGAGATGAGTGGTGTTGTAGATCCGGAGACTTTGTACACAAAGCAGAATTGCATCGGTATGTTTGCGTATACTTTCATCACTCTGTACAAAGGCTCATGTTTATAGGCGGTGGTAGTTTTGGTAAAGTTTACAAAGGGTATGGTTCTTCCTTCTGCCAATTGCCACTCCAGTTTCTCATCTAGGCCATGTACTAATCTTCAGCAGAGTTGACAAGCGCACCGGGCAGGCTGTAGCCATAAAAGTTATCGACGTTGAAAATGCCGAAGATGAAGTCGAAGATATTATTCAGGAGATTTCTATCCTTTCCGAATTACATTCCCCGTTCGTTACCCAATACTATGGATCATATCTTAGAGGCTCGGATCTTTGGATCGTTATGGAATTCTGCTCGGGTGGTAGTTGTGGTGACTTGATGAAGCCGGGTCTGATACAGGAGGAATATATTTCGATTATCATACGCGAACTTCTGCTAGGCTTGGATTATTTACATGGGGATAAGAAGCTTCATAGAGATATTAAAGGTTTGCATGATTTTCGGTGGGAATTTGGGTCTAGATTCCAGGAGCTAACATCTGAGGACAGCTGCAAATGTTCTACTGGGCGCCAATGGACAAGTTAAACTCGCGGATTTCGGTGTTTCAGGCCAATTATCTGCTACCATGACCAAGAAGAATACATTTGTTGGAACCCCATTCTGGATGGCCCCGGAAGTCATCAAACAATCTGGTTATGACCACAAGGCGGATATATGGTCTCTGGGAATTACCGCACTCGAACTCGCCAATGGCGAACCTCCATACTCTGATATCCATCCAATGAAAGTTTTGTTCCTCATCCCTAAAAATGCGCCCCCAAAATTAGAAGGAAATTTCACCAGGGCTTTCAAAGATTTCGTCGAATTGTGCCTTCAACGAGATCCGAGAGAACGACCATCGGCTAGAGAATTGCTGAAACACGCCTTTGTTCGAAAAGCCAAGAAGACCTCATATTTGACAGAGTTGATAGAGAGATACGAACGTTGGGCAGTGCATCACAAGGGTGACGATGACGACTCGGATAATGAGAGAGAAGAAGCTCCCCGACCTAAACCTGTCGATGAAGACTTATGGGATTTTGGCACGGTCCGACCAGTTGGCGGAAGAGTAAATGGAAGGGTTGGGCTGAATGCTATGGGAGAATCTGACACGAATGCAAGAGCATCAAGGTCATCAGAAGAGAATAATTATGCAGAGCGTCCGAGACAGCAATCGCCCTCGAAAATAAAAGAACCAGGATATGTCTCGAGTATTGAAACTGTCAAAGCAACAAATTGTCCACCAGTAGATGCACAACCCAGGCAACCTTCTCCACAGAGACGGCCTGTTCCAAGTATCCAGACTTCAATGTCTCCTACCAAGGTCCCTCTTCCACCATCACCAGAGAAATTCAGACCTCCAGGATTGGAGACACCTAGAACGGCTACGAGTTACATAAATAGACAAGTTTCTGATTCTCCTGATTATGATCGTACTTTGCAAGAACAACTCCAGAAAGATATGGGATTTCTGAAGCTCGGTGAACCATCTCCACCGCCATTGCGAATACCCCCCTCTACCGCCCCAATACCAATACAGTACACGAATCAAAATACACCGCCTTCAGCATTACCACGACCAAATACGCAACAGTCATTACCAAAACTTGCCCCTATCAAATTGCCTGAAATCCCTCCATTCCGTGGCAGCGGTCAGCCTCAACCACTGCAGCAAAGACTTCCAAACCAAGTACCTACTGCGGAGCCTCGAAAACAGCAACATCAACAGCCACTTCCATTACCTCCCAACCCTACAGGCCTTCAAAATATCAATCTACGCCAGACAGGTCAGCAGCCATTACCTGCATTACCATCGAAAAAATTACGCAATACTCCTTCTCAAGAAAGTATTTCATCTCAATCTTCTAGAGCTCCATCATCTATGCCTTCACCTGCTCCTGCTAGTCCAACCGGGGATCTTGATGCCTTGAATGATGTGATCTTTCCTGCACTTGAAGAAGCACTCAAACGACGTCAGTATCGCCTACAACATGCTTTCCGCACGACTGGAGCCACTCCAAAGCAACAAAGGGCACAAGCTGCCCATGAGAAATTACGAAAATTAGTTTATAAGCTTGCACATGTGTGCAAGGAAATCGACCATTGGGATAAACAAGAACCAGTGGGGATGGGGAAGGATGTGGATGTTTTCCTCGAGGGATTGTTGGAGGAAATTTTAGTTAGGGTCGAACCGGCTGATGAGGAAGATGTGGATATGAGACGATGAATGGATCAGTGCACAATTACGAATTTTAATGTACAATGCATGAGGTATGAGGAATGCAGAAGACCTAGCTAGGGTCTATCATGATGGATGGATGGATCGGTTAGGTACAAACTTAATCGAATTCTATGATATGAGGCGTTGGTTGGCAGAATTGAATTTGGTATTCCAGGAGAGGATTGAGGGGTTTTGTGCCAAGTACTAAGTATCGAGGCTTGCTAGAGATGATAGGTATTAATATTATAAAATTGAAGGTGGTGACTCCTCTGGAAGAAGCTTCTTCTCATCTACCGAATTTATCAGTCATCCGTTCATAATTCCCTTGGCTGTTATTCTCTGAGTATCACTGTGTAGTGCAGGCACCTTGAGTGAGGGGCTTCATGGTGGTGTTGGTATGTGTGGTATGTGATGGACTCTGTTTTTGCGAAAGTTACAAATGCATCTGAACATTTCCAAAAATTGGGGTCTTGAGAAAGTTCTCAATAAGTTCGAACATTCAAACGTGGTTGGTTCATTGATAAAGGGGTTCTAAGGATCGACATACATGACTAGAAGTGCGAGTATCAATCGCTCGCTCACTTTTCATTACCATTGTCTCCAATGTGCAACACCATGTAAGACATTGACATGCATTTCTCGCTTCACTTTCGCGAATGGTGTTAATGAGTACTTTATTTCTCTCACCTTTGAACTCTGAAGTGAGTCTGCGGGAGTTGTTCACCTTTGGAATGCCTACCTAGTATTCTATCAAGTAGTTGTGGATATTCAGTAAGTGATCTTCTTGTTGCTCTTGGTGTATGGAGCTCTTTCTGGATTGGGAAAGGGGGATGGGACTTGGGGTTACCCCGCTTTTAGGTTGAGGTAGTTAGGTAGGTGGTTAGTTGGGTAGTCAGACGGTTGGTTATTTCTTGCTGTTGTTCCCCTTCTTTTGATCTTCAACTTATGACTTATGACGTGCGACTTTGGCTCTTGGAAAACTTCTCTACATCAATAACAATAATAACAATAATAACAATAATAATAATAATAATAATAATAATAACAACAACATTATCAACTACACAACCTTCTACAGCATTATCTGCTTGCTAGGGCCGACTTGTCGCAAACGCTTGCAAAGGATTTCAACCCAGGAGCATTACTATTATCATTCTATCCTCGACTCCTCAGTTTATTTTACAGCCCTCCAATTTACTGGCTTTACTTCTTATCTATGATATTTTTCTCTTCAAACTTGATAGATTTCTTCAGATATCATCCAGCTTCTTCAGATTGGCGTTTTATCGATATCTAGTGTCTCGAGAGAGGTGATTTGATACGGAGTAACTACTTGCCACTATCTTTTGTCTTTGGGTTTACGATTATCTATCTTGCGCTTTGGATGGAGGTTTGATTGTCTTTTCTTCGGCATCTGAGCTGATCCTTTTCTCTGAGAATACTTAACTTTTGACTTTGATCGCAGGGCTCTCGAGACATCTCGATATTAACTGTTGGATTTTTATCGCTTTCTCTTGCTCGCGCAGAAGTTTTCATCGAGCATAAGAAAGGCCATATCCTCGAGATTATCTCTGATCGATAAAAACAGAACCTGGATCACTTATCAACTCGATCTTTCGGAGGTGCAGCCATTCTTCTTTATGCTTTTGATCTAAAGATAGAACTTCATATCCACTCCGGAGAACCAACATTGCTATTCCAATTCATCATCTTTACATCTTCGACGATACATCCTCCAATAATAATCCCTGATAACACTGAAGCCCTGTTAAGGACCTCACAATTTACTTCCATCATGATCGGTAGTATCGGTCCCAGTGGCCGAAACGGTTTGTCTCAGGCCTCTCCATCTGCTTTCTCAGACACTCTCGCCCTGCGGCCACCAAAAAGAGAAGCAGGGTTACTGGATATGCAGGTCAGCGATATTATCGACTCGGAGATACGCGATAAAGTTGTAGCAATGCTTCCGTCCTATCCATCCTACCCACTCCTTTATCTTACTTATGCGCTCATCAGGAGTGATGGAGTATTGGACGCAGCTCGAGATTTACTTCACGTTACACGTCAAAATAAGGGTCAATATCTATCGATTACCTATATCACGAGTTTAGAAGAAATTGGGAATCTTACAATGCGTGGCGAAGTTGAAAAAATTATCAACATCGCTCCGGAGGTGAAAATCTGGTGGGCTTTTTATGCCTTGCAAGTTTGTGATGGATCTTCTGATTGTGCTCTTCGTTTGTTATTTGAGGGTGTCGTTGATGCTTCTAAGGACCCTGGGACATATGTAGCTCCTGTATCTACTAGGCGTGTCAGTCCGGCAATCAGTCCTATGAGCAGACCGGATGAAAGCTTGTTTGTAGATTCGTCGTCAGATTTAGAAAGCTCCATTTCCAGCGATATTAGTGGCAATAAATCGTCGAAGCCCAGTTTATCCTCACCTGAGCTATTGCACCGAATCCCAGACAACTCATTCGTCGACACTAGCGACGATGATGAATACTTCAAGTCAGAAGAGGATGATGCGACTTTGCGTGCCAGCCCTGACCACAGCAACCTGCGAAAGCTACCTACTGATAAAGGTAAAGGCAGATCAGACCCGGAAGATTATAACTCCGATATTGAGATGATCAATATTCCACCCTTCAAGGAGAGTCCTCAGGCAAAGAGACATGCGGAACAGAAACGTAATTGCAAGTTCTGTGGGACGGAACAAAAGGACTGGTTGGCGCGAACCAGTCACGAGGAATCATGTCGTATGAAGACGAAGCAAGTTTGTGTCAAATGCAAAAGGGAAGTCTCAAAGTCTGATATAAGAAGGCACGAAGCCGGGTGTGATGGTCGAACCTCAAGACGTGATGGCCCAGAATACAAAGTCCGTGGTTCAACAAGAATTTCCGTTTCTCGTGACAGTTCTCCGGATTTCGATTCATCTGAAGGTCTTACTAAAGAGCAGCTGCAAAAAGTGAAGGAAATGCAACAATACCTCCCTCACCTTTCGGTTAGTAGATGCAGTGAGTCCTTAGAGTTGTGCGATTATAATATTGCAGAGGCTATAAAGTTGGAGAGGGAGACGTTTACTTCGGATGACGAAGCTGAGAATCGAGATTCTTACATGCGGAAGGATGATTCGCGAAAGAGAGGATCGGGAAGTACGTCGGTAGGTTGAGCTCAAACAATGATATTAGTGTACAACTGTTGACAATACTTAGGTTGAGCGTGTCACAAAGAAGGCACGTATCCAGGTTGGCGATGGAGATACGAATTTAGAGCCCGCCAGCCAGTGGATTAAGTATGTGCGCATTTCCCATTGTTCAAACGTCGAATGGACATACTAATCATGTTTTACAGAAACACCTTTTCTGGTCTTTGTCAAAACTCGGCTAACCTTACAATTGTCAATCTCTCCGGCTCAAAAAGTCGTTCAGTTCCGACGAAGCTTATCTGCGACAACTCGAGATACTTAAAGAACATGATTGATCTCACAGGAGATGAAGATGCTCTAAAGGAAATATTTCTCTTAGATGTCGAGCCAGATCTCTTTGATGCGCTCATACAATATATGGTCTGTCGCAACGTCTCATTTGGTTCTCGAGTAAGCCAAACACGAAAGATTACTTCGATCGTAAACTTCGTAGTTCTCGCAAACGAGCTCAAAGTTGCTGGACCAGCGACTACCATGCTTCCCACTCTTGAAAAAATCCTGAAGGAAGAACGAAAGAGTCTAGCTCCTTCAACTATCTTAAAAGGTGGCCACGTGGAAAAGATCTTTTCGACTCTTGGAGCTGGTCATCCCCTTTCAGAACTATTCGTCAGAGCATCAGTACGGCCATTTCTCGAACACAAAATTGACAACACTTCTATCGAAGAGGACTTTGACAACGGCTCTGAACTCATGCCAGGCGACATGGAAGTGTATCGCAACAAACCAGCCCATCTTGCATTTAAGTTGAATGATGACATCAAATCAGCTCTATTATTAAAGGTCTTTGAAACTACGAGCACTAGGGAAAGTCGACAAAAATATACGCGCAGCAAAATTCCTAAGGATTCTACTACTTGGTTCACCGATCCGCTTGATGATAGCCAGTTCACTATTTGAGCTGGTTGATGATTTTCTTATTGAGATCATCTGACATGCTTTCTGGTTCTCCTATTTCGTCTCATGACTCGAGCCAATCTTATCAATTTCTTACTGTGCTAGCATGTGTGGACTTGTTGAACTGGATGTGCCTTCGGCTTTCGGGCCTGGGTATGTTCAATCATGATCTGGTCTCGCGCAGCAATATTCTCGTTTGTTCAATGGAAATCCTCTTTTTGTTCATCAGTACGCACGTACTTGTTTCTATTCGAAAAGCATTACACGGAGGACGAAAGAAAAGATATGAGATGAAAGTCTCAGGAGTGTATTTCCCCTATGCGTTCCTAAGATTGAATGGAGAGTGAATAAGCGGAACTTATTTTTAAACCGGAAAATCGAAGGCGAGACGGAGCGGAAAGATTATAGAATAGCTAGAGATGATACTAGGAGATGCGTAAAATGAAGTTAAATATTCTTATTTGATATATCAACTATGAAGTAAACATACTGCATACATATAAGATAGTACTCGAGTAGTAGTGTGTCTTTATCCCAGAGCTTTCCTTGTACATGGTTAAATATCTAGTAGGTGAAATTTCACCTCGATCTCGGTTTGAATCTTGCTATCAAGTATCAAGTTGGTGATAACTGGATAACTGGAATACAGAACATTTTTACAAAGAGCTAATGCTTTCGATGCTATCTCTAGTTCTTTGACTTCTTCTCCTTCTCCTCCTCCTCCTCCTCCTCCTCCCCCTCCTCCCCCTCCCCTCCCTCTTCCTCCTTCTTCCTCCTCTCTCTCTTCAATTTCATCCCATTAACCAAAAATCTATGAATGCATATATATTCATTCCTTTCGACTTGAGTAAACCACCCACCTATCAAATGGCTTTCATCTTTCATTCACATGAACAGCTGACTGAAAACCAAGAGCCTAGAGGCGTAGACACTAGAAGAGGGGAGGGAAATGGTATTTATCTCTGGATGACAAGTGTAAGTTTTCCAATATTTGGATATGGATTTGAAAGTTATTGTAAGAGTTGACCTGACCCATAGTTGGGTACCTAGATGTGTATTTAGTGTGTGGGAGAGGAGAGAAGAGGTTGGGTGGATGGGAATGGTGGATAATTTTTGAAGAGGTCGATGCGAGTGCTTTGGGGAGATGAGAAGGGGAGATGAGATGGGGTTGGGTGTTTTATTCTTTTATATTATTGAGTATTCGTTTGGTTACTTGGTGGAAATAGAGGGAGATGTGGAAAGGAGAATGCGAAGAGGTGGAACTAAAGGAAGGGGGTAATTCTCATGCTGAATTGATGAAAATTTGCAATTCAGCGGATTCTTTTGAGCAGAATAGGGATTTATCACTTGGATGAAGCTATGGATCCCAAGTCCCACGCATTCATGAATACATTGACATGCCCTGGAGCGGTGGCATAAATCATCATAAGACATGAGGTGCTCAGAGCTAGAGTCACTGTATTCTATATTTCACATCAACTTGACGTGTTTGAGATTGCAATTAAATTCAATGATTAATCTATCATCCAGTTCTATTCAAAACACAAAGCATTCTGGTATCAATACTGCCCTTCTCCCGCTAAAGAAAACACTTCCTACATCAACAATCTCCAAGCACCCAAAATCAACGCTGCCGTACCGGTACAAACTCCCATCAACCACTGCAGTGTCTGAAACTTGACACCCTCCAATTTCTCCCTCAACCCAGCCACCTCCTGCTCAATCTTTGTTTCCGTTTCCTTGATTTTGAGATCTTGCACATTAGCCTCCTCTCTTATCCTGCCTTTTTCCAAATTCAAATCTAATCGAACGGAAGCTTGGGTTCGGGAAACCTCATCGCGCAGACGAGCATTTAGTTTAGCGAGATCATTGGTGAGTCGCTCGTGAGAAGCGCGGGTTGTGGATGATTCGGTGGAATCTGCAGAGAGGAGTTCGCTGCGGAGGGCGGCGAAGTCAACTTTTTGAGTGTAGGTTGCGCGAGCGGCATCCTCGCGGAGAACCATTGTGCGGGTTAGGTTTTGGATGCTGGGATGGAGGTTAGTTGACTTCGGTAAGACCTTAAGGGGGAATGTGTATAGGAGTATAGATCATTACCTTTCTTCAATAACATCGCTGAGTACTTTCATCATAGCTACAGCTTGGGGTTCTGTGAATCCCTCATCCCGTAACCGCTGAACGAACTTTAGGGTATCGAAATGGTGATCTCGAGATTGACGAGGGGTTGCGTGGAATGCTCTGCGACATGATGGCTCTTGTAATATGCTAGTTCGAGATTTGTTTCCACTTTCTACAGATCGTACTCGATTGGATATCTGCTGACCAGAAGCAGGTCTTTGTGAATTTCCATTATTGCTTGCTGCCGCGCTGAATGCTCGAATAGTATGCGGGGGTAGTGAGGATCGTGTCTGCCAGCTCAATTTGGGGAGTAAAAACCGCGGTAGTGTTTGTGCGGAATTTGCAATTGATTTTGCCATTGTGTTTTACTTCTCTTATAGGATTTAGGAAGTAAAACTAGCTTCGAATCTTATGCAATTCTTCTAAATTTCCGTTCAAGATGAGTTGTGTTCTCTAAGCTATTAATTTATTGATTGATACATCATGGCCGGCAGTATCCGTTAGTCACCAAAATAGCGGGAGTACGGTGACCGAGATTGTTAATTTTCTCGGTTGAGTCACCCACTTCAAAGAATATTATCTAGATTCGAAATCTTGCCCATTCACAGTCAACGAGGAATATTATCCACGACATTTGAATCATCTCTCGAGTTTAAGATCGTATCTTAGGGAGAATCTTGAGTTATCTGAAATTATTTCAGCCATCCCAGATAGCTTCACATAAAGGAATTTCGCCCGATTACCCCGCTACGCAAATATTCTAGCAAAGAGAACAGCAAAAACGCACCAGAGAACGACCACCCAACATGGCTTCGAACGGTGATAAGTTTGGAAACGATCTGGAATCTGAATCCGATTCTAATCCAGGATCCCCTAACCTCGATGCGCAAGAGGTTGACGACAATGTAGAGGATATTGACGAGAAGCCCATCAAATCCGCATTAAAGAAATCATCACATAAAGAACCTGCGCCAGCTATTGTTCGACCTACCTTACCACCTCAAACCGAACCAAAAGACTTGGATGTCAAGTCCCTGACTCCCCTCACCCCAGAGATTATCGCAAGACAAGCAACTATCAACATTGGTACTATTGGACATGTGGCGCACGGAAAGTCAACTGTGGTGAAGGCTATCTCTGGAGTACAAACTGTTCGTTTCAAGAACGAGTTGGAGAGAAACATTACGATCAAGCTTGGTTATGCCAATGCAAAGATCTACCAATGCGATAACAAGGAGTGCCCAAGACCTGGATGCTTTAGAAGTTATAAGAGTGAAAAGGAGGTTGACCCACCTTGCGAAAGAGAGGGGTGCAGCGGTACCTACAGACTTTTGAGACACGTATCGTAAGTTATCATTGCTTGCACTTTTCCGCAGCAGCAATAGCTAACATGTCACAGCTTCGTCGATTGCCCTGGTCACGATATTCTTATGAGTACTATGTTGTCTGGTGCAGCCGTCATGGACGCCGCTCTCTTACTTATTGCTGGAAACGAAACTTGCCCCCAACCACAAACATCTGAACATTTGGCCGCTATCGAAATTATGAAGCTCGACAAAGTCATTATTCTACAGAACAAGGTCGATTTGATGAGAGAAGAAGGCGCAAACCAGCATTACCAATCGATATTGAAGTTCATTAGAGGAACTGTTGCAGGTGGAGCACCAATTATTCCAATCTCCGCCCAATTGAAGTTCAACATCGATGCCGTCAACGAAGCTCTTGTTTCCAACATCCCTGTTCCACCAAGAGATTTCACAATGGATCCACAAATGATTGTTATTCGATCCTTCGATGTTAACAAACCAGGTGCTGAAATTGACGAATTGAAGGGTGGTGTTGCTGGTGGAAGTATCCTGCACGGTGTCATCAAGTTGGGTGATGAAATCGAGATTCGACCCGGTATCGTTTCTCGCGATGAGAAGGGAGGTGTTAAATGTCAACCAATCTTCAGCAGAATCATTACTCTCAACTCGGAGAACAATGAATTGAAATACGCTGTTCCAGGAGGACTTATTGGTGTTGGTACACGAATTGATCCAACTCTTTGCCGTGCCGATCGTCTCGTTGGTTTCGTTCTCGGTCTCAAGGGTCGTCTTCCTGATATCTACATTGAAATCGAAGTCAACTATTATCTGTTGCGTCGTCTCTTGGGTGTTAAGACTGCTGATGGTAAACAAGCTAAGGTTACCAAGCTCACCAAGAACGAGGTTCTCATGGTCAACATTGGATCTACTGCTACTGGTGCTAAGGTCATGGCTGTTAAGCAAGATGCAGCTAAATTGCTCTTGACTAACCCCGCTTGCACTAACATTGGAGAGAAGGTTGCGCTAAGTCGTCGTATTGAAAAGCATTGGAGATTGATTGGTTGGGCCACTATTGCGGCTGGTGTCACTCTTGACCCAAGCACTTCTTAAGCGGGTGAATAGGTAGATGATATGTGTGTAATATTTTTCACACTTAAAAGTAAAAATTTAAGATGGAAGTCAAAAGAAGAAACTCAGCGATGTATTCTATGAAGCAAGTGACGTGGTGATATGACTTGATGGTTTGGTGGAAGGGAAACAAAAAGGTCTCGATATCGTTTGACTCTTGGCTTATGATGGTCTGATCATCGCATGTATACTTGATACTTGAGGTCATGGGAGGCGGATAGATAGATTGGGCATTTAAAAGTTAGCTCGATAATGAAAAGAATCTTTTTTACAGTGTAGTGTTTGTGATGTGATTGATGGGCTTTGGAGTGGAGTGGTGGGTTGAGTGAGATTGAGTGAGGTTGATTGTTGATTGATGGTTAATTGATGGTTGATTGATGGTTGATTGATGATTGATGATTCAGATTGCGTGGCTTTTTGTTTGTTTGTTTACCTAGGTCGGTGGGTAGGGAGAATGATCGAGGAGTCTCGTACGGTACTCGTTTTCTTATCTTGAGGGCGAGAGGGTCTGGGAGGGTGGCTAGGGAGGGAGGGATGGATGGGAAATCTCAGATTTCTTTCTCGTGTAGTGGAGTGCAGTGGAGTGGGAGTGGGAGCGATGAAATGAACGAAATGAATGAGTGTTTGGCGGTGAATGAATGGGCGATGGGTGATGGGATTTTGTGTTTTAGGGGTTGAATTGGTGGGATGGGTTGGATGAGGATATGTATAGAAGGAGAGGGTGGTGAGGATTGTGAGGATGGTAGGGTTTGAGGGGAGGGAGCAATGGGCAGTGGTGGTGGGTATTTAGAGAGGGAGGGGGGTGGTGGGGATTATGTGTTATGTGTGATTTATGATTTATGGGAGAGGGAGAGGGGTTCTTGTGTTTAGTTGGGTAGATATATGGGAGGTAGATACTATAGAGTATGAAATGATTGCGATGGATGTGGTGGTGATGAGATGAGATGGATGAGATGGATGAGATGGGAATTATGCTATGGATTGAATCCAGCTGCGTGGTTTGCTTGAGCTGTGATTTATATGTGGTTGTATGGCGTGGAGGGGGATTGGGATGGACAGATAGGATGGGAAGTATGTATGGATTTGAATATATCTGTGTGGTTTCTTTTGAGCAGTATTTTGAGCTGTAGTTTTTGCTTGATTGTATAAGATGGGACAGATGGGGCTTGGGATGAGGAAGAAGATGGGATGAGGTGTGGTATATATTCTAGACCTGAGGTTGATGGTCGTGGAGTTATTTGGTACCTAGTACCTAAGAGAGAGATATACTCACTCCACTCTGTACATAAACTTAAACCCTCGGTTAGCAGTCGAGAGCGGGTGATAATATTATGATTTGCTAGTGAGATTTATACTTTGTACGTAGATTTGGCTCGGACTCGGGTTAGACGTCGGGTTACCTAGCTGTTAGCTGGTGCTTTGATGGAGAGTTTTGGGGTTGGTTTGGTTGGTTGAGTACAAGTTTGTTTCTAGGCGTCATTGTGATTTGAAGCTTGAACTGAAGTTGAAATTTGCGTATAACGGAGGTAGATATGGGATCCGATATTTCCAGAGGAAAATAGGAGAATAGGGGATTTGTTTGGGCTACTGGGGGGGGTATTTATTATCTATCTACTACTGTAGATATACTTTGATGATGTCTTTGGGTGTGATATATGATAGAATATAACGTATCAATGCAATTGGTGATGACGCGACTCCGAATCCAACGAATTATCTATATTGACATATGACTTTCGCATTATAGTGATGGCGTGGCGTACAATAATCAGTTGTTAAGTTGTACGTGAAATGGACATGATTTGTATATAACACAGTCGATATGAGTCGATCGTGGTAATACTGGAAATCGTAAATCGTAACCGAGGAGTATTTCATTTACTAAGGTATGTGTCATCAAGATATTAGGGCTGGTGGGTTCTTGGAATAGCGGTCTTGATAGTAGATAGTAGATAGTATAGTAGATCTAGGTACTGGGTAACCTTACCTAGTATTCATTTCAGCTAGCTAGCTCACGAAATGGGTTCACTGTTAGTCATGCATTTCATCGTTCTTCAAAAACACATCCTCGTAGGTTTTCAATAGAGAGATCCAATGCGAAATTCAGCACTCGTCATCAGATATAACTGCCTGGTTTTGATCCAAGACCATACTAATAATAATTCCAAGACGAAAACCCATTACGCCTGCTTACTCGAACTTTACAAACGCCCGACATCTCACTTCCTTGAATGAACGATATGAGAGAATGTGAGTCAGGCCGCAAGGGATCCAAGCGAGTAATTTTCGCACCGAGAATGCAAAATGAACCCCCAGGTGGAGAATACAGGATGAACATCGGACAGTTGAATAATCCGTGTCCATGTTTCGCCGGCGACTTTTTGGACCATCGCATCGGATTACGTGGGCTGTGATTGGGTGCGATGGATGTGGTAAGGTTAATTCCAAGTTGCCAACGCGAGCTGATTCGGTTAGGAGGAGTCGAGAAGAATTCGAAGAATCTAGATGGGAGGAAAGCTTTTAGCTGGGATCAAGAGTGGATGGAATTGGGGATTTGGGCGCCTCAATTTACTCTTTTCTCTGCCTCCCCTGGTGAGTACGAGTTAATCACAGTGACAGGTAGAAAGGGGATCGAGACTCGAGAGGAAAGCTTTCGGAGACTTTCTTTTCTTCTTCTACCTATGAGGCTATGACTCTCGTGTTTTTGTATATCCTCGAATCTGATTTCATCGGGTGATGAAGGGGTATATATATATACAAATATATACTATTATACTTATTTGTCATCGTCTTGCTTTCTTTCTTACCCTCTACCTATATCTTGTTCCGTATTAATCCATCGGATTAATACTTCATTCATCAAGCATCTACCCAAGACCACTCAAAATATAACCTTAATCGAAAAAAACCTTTTTTACCCCAGAATTCTCTAATTGAATTTTATATAATTGGACCACCAGGACCTGGAGACCCTCTTATATCTGTCAAAGAATTCCAATTTCTTGGGTTGCCCTAGTCTACCGGACATATTTACTTTTTGGATATTTTTTATATCAATCACAAAGGGAATTTTTGAACGAGACTCTCCAATCGGATTTTAGACCTCTTCTATATCCGTTTATTTTCGATCCTCCGTTCATTTTATTCTTTCCTCCGGTCTAAACACGGACGAGGAATCCCACCGAATTCGTCCGTTGGCAAGGGTTTAAGTATGATATATATAACTTAGAGTACCTACCTACTCAGTCATTTAAAGACTGCTTCTTCAACTACTTGAACTATACCCAAGTACCTATCTGAGGTGTCTTTTACTTCCACAACGAGATATCAAATGATGACCGACGGAAAGGTACCACCCACTACCAGTGCTTCGATCAGTTCTTCAAGCACCATGCACGAGAAATCCGACGCCGAACAAGCGATTCTAGCACGCGAAGCTATGAAGAAAGATGCGGAGTTGTCAGAGAAACCTTCGGAAACGATACCGTCGGTTCATGAAGGCGACAATGATCATCCCATAGAGTTGAAGAAGACGAAAAGCGCAGCAGAGATACAGCAGGAGGAGTTGAATAGAGTTCATACAAGTCCAGAAGGTGTAGAATATCCAACTGGAGTTAAATTACAGTTGATTAGTTTGGCTTTGTGTTTATCCGTTTTCTTGATGGCTTTGGTAAGTCTTGTCGAGTTTCCCTAGGATCATGGTATGGTGTATGTGTGTTCTAATTTACGAATAGGATAACTCTATTATTGCAACGGCGATTCCAAAGATTACTGATCAGTTTCACTCGTTGGACGATGTTGGATGGTACGGATCTGCATGTAAGGATTCCTTCTATTTGTTTGGTTTTGCATCCCTATGGGGAAGAACCTGTTGAAGATAAAACTTGGCCACTAACCTCCTACCTTTACAGACTTACTCACCACTGCTTCCTTTCAATTACTTTTTGGAAAATTCTACTCATACTTCTCGATAAAATGGGTTTACCTAGTTGCGATTGCTATCTTCGAGCTCGGCAGTTTGATCTGTGGTGTTGCACCAAATTCAATTGCGTTGATCATTGGTAGAGCTATTGCTGGTCTGGGTAGTGCTGGAATCTTCTCTGGTGCTTTGATCATCGTCGCATACTCAGTTCCATTGGTCAAGAGACCGATGTATACTGGTTTAATTGGAGCTATGTATGGTATTGCCTCTGTTGCTGGACCTCTACTTGGAGGTGTATTCGTAAGTTAACTTGAGATTCACTTGACGAGGACAAAATACTGACTTGAACAGACTGATAAAGCAACTTGGCGTTGGTGCTTCTTAATCAATTTGCCAATTGGAGCTGGTAAGTCTCTTCAAAACTTTACCTGAAAAACAATTGCTGATTACTCAATTTCTTAGTTACTGTTCTTGTCATTTTGGTTTTCTTCAAAGCTCCCGATAGAGAAGCTGTTGCAGTCCTTCCATGGAGTCAACGCATAAAGGAGTTCGATCTTCTCGGTACCGCATTCTTCATTCCAGCTATCATCTGTCTATTGCTCGCACTTCAATGGGGTGGAACCAAATATCCTTGGGGCAATGGACGTATCATCGCACTTTTCGTACTTTTCGGAGTATTGATCGGAATATTCATCGCCATCCAGTTCTGGAAAGGAGATAGTGCCACCGTACCACCCAGCATCATGAAGAAGCGAAGCATGTGGTCTGCTGCATGGTTTTCTTTCTGTCTTGGATCTTATTTTCTCCTTTTGATCTACTATCTTCCTATTTGGTTCCAAGCCGTCAAGGGTGATTCGGCTGTCAAATCTGGTATTTCGAATATACCAATGGTCTTGACCTTGGTCATTGTCAGGTTCGTACAATCTTCCTCCATTTCACAGAACTCAAACTAACTTGATTTTCAAGTATCATATCCGGTGCTCTTGTCACAACTATCGGTTACTACGCACCACTTATGATTGTTTCTTCTGTCATCGCATCCATTGGAATCGGTCTCTTAACTACCTTCAAGCCAGATACTAATCACGCTGCCTGGATCGGTTACCAATGTCTCGCTGGTATCGGTATTGGTTTCGGTATGCAACAGCCCCTTATAGCCTGTCAAACTGTCCTCGACATCTCTCAAGTGCCAACCGGTACTTCAGTCATTATTTTCGTTCAAACACTCGGAGGAGCTCTATTTGTCTCTATTGGCCAAAATGTGTTTACAAATAAACTTGCACAGAATTTGGCACATTATGTACCGGATCTCGATCCAGCAGTTGTTTTGAGCACTGGTGCTACTAGTATCCAAAAAGATATCGCACCAGAATATTTGGCTGGTGTGACAATTTCTTATAATAACGCGTTGACGCAATCATTCTTGGTAGCTGCAGTTATGGCCGCACTTACTATTATTGGCAGTGTGGCCATTGAATGGAAGAGTGTGAAGGGAAAGAAAATTGAAATGGCAGGTGCTTAATTTCTGATTGAGCTGATTTCAATTTCGACGTTAGAACATCAAAGTTTAGGACTTGCATTTTAGATCATGAGGAAGGGCACGATGGTCGCTTTTTGGATGTGCTGCATTTTATTGCGTTGTACTATATACCCCTTTGGCGTTTGGAGGAAAGATTTAGCTATATGGATATTGCTTATGAGGGGAAATGAGGATGGCTCACTTGGCTTCTTACACTTCAGTGTATGACACATGAGATAGGGGTGACTGTCTGAAAGGTTGGAAGATCTATTAGGCGATGGATGACGGAACATAGAATATGAAATATGTATAAATGGGGAGATAGCTGAAAGGGGGTTGCAACCAAACTCTACTACTTTATTTAATTAGCAGAAAGATATTTTAATCGTAATCATTTCTAATCTGTTTCAAATCTCGTTATGTAAGTGACAAATGTATGTGCTATGTGTATGATCTAAATACAATCCTCTCCTCATTCCTCCTCCTATCTCTACTTCAAATCGATCAATCGCCTAATAACTCAAACAGCCAATTCCGGCACACCAATAACTCGGTAACCAACTCATTTCCTCCCCGAAACACTTGTCCGCGCCATCTGCACTTCTCTCCAATACCAACATCCCACCAACGCCGCTCCAGGCCCCACAACCACATTCGCCAGAAATAGCACCACAGCTGCTTTACCGATATCGACCGTAGTTCTCCCTACGCGTTTGATATCCCACACTGCGTTGCAAGTCCAGATGTAGGTCGCGAGGTGGAAGGTATAGAAATTGAGGAGGAGGTATGCGTGTATGGGGGTAATGTTGGAGAAATTGGGATTGGGGAGGAAAATGGAAGAGAGAGAAATGAGGGGGCGAGGAGAGAGGAAGATGTAGATGAGAGTTGTGATGTGTGTGAGGAGGCCGAGGAGGAAAGTAGTGAGGTAGAGAGTGCGTAGGGGGAGGATGTCGGTGGGGGTGTGGGAAGCGGTGGGGGTTTGGGTTGGTGGGGGATTGAGTTTGCGGAGGAGGAGGGAGGAGAGGAAGGTGAGGAGGGTGGTGAGGGGGGGGAGGAGGGGGAAGATTTTGGAGAGGAGGGGGGTGAGAGGGAGGGAAGAGGGGAGGAAAAAGAGAAGGGTGGGGAAAATGTAGAAGAGGAGGACACAGGGGAGAATGGCTTTCATGTAGTGCGCGGGGATGAGACGGGAGAGCGGCCACCAGTAGGGTTCGGCGTTGGAGAAGAGGGTGTAGACGGTGTAGAAGAGGGGGGCGGTGATTCCGAAGCCGAGGTATTGGGAGAGGGCAAGCCAGAGGGTTGGGCTGGGAGGTGTGAGTTTCTTTTCTTTTTCTTTTATATGTATATATATATTTTTGGAAATGTGAAGATATGAGAAGGAGGGAGGGGAAAAGAGAAATAGGGAAGGGATTTTTTACAGAGCCACAAGATTCATATCATTCCTCTTCCGACAACCCTCCACCAGCCAAACCGCCAACGGCTGCACCAACCCCCCATAAAAATAAACACTCAAAACCCCCAACCTCCTGTCTTTCTCCGCCGCCCCTCTCGGATTCCTCAGAATCCCCGCCAATTCCTCCGCTGCCCCCTCATTCTTCGAATGGATCCACAGCCCATAGTACGCTCCCAGCGCAAGCGCCATATAAACCGCCATTTGCATCCATCCAATCACTCCTCTCACTTCCGGAGCTTTGGCCAATTCATCTTTATAGGGGATGAGTTTCGGACGGGGGGGAAGCTCCACCATATCTAATTTTTCCGCCGACGGTTGATTACCCGAGAAATTAAACATCACGTCTTCGGTATCCGTGATTGGTAAGAGCGTCAGAGCAATGAATTTATGAAGACGATCTTCCATAGCCTCAGTACGCTGTTGTTCATGCGAAGCATCTTTGAGAATCATCGCACGTGTTTCGCGCAGAGCCTGGAGCTCCGCGAACATGGTTGTGAATTGGGAAGTTGAGGGTTTGGGGGAGATTTTCAGAAGTTTCACGAGCGAATTGACGAGGGCGGCGGAAGATTCCAAGGCGGAGTTCCCGCCGTGGCCACCGATGGGGTTGAATTTATGCGCGGAATCACCAATCGTGATGATGCGTTCGAAGAACCATTTTTTGTAGACGTATTCGGGGAGCGCGGTCAGGGTCGAGGAGATTTTGCGGTCTTGTAGGTCTTTGAAGGTGATGTCGGGGGTGATGGGGTCATTTTCGTGGGCTTTGAGGACGGCGGCTTCGTCGGCTTTGGTGTAGCGGGGGATGGCGTTGCCGTAGAGGGGAGTGGGGTGTTTGAAGAAGTAGAACCAGTAGACGCGGCCTTCGGGGCCGCCGTTGATGAGGTAGGAGTTTTGCTCGCGGAAGACGGAGTGTAGGTTTCCGGGCTCGAGGCCGGGAATCGGGTTGGAGATACCGAATATGCAGCTGTAGTGGCAAGGGGGAGCTGGGATGGAGTTAGTTGAGGGGTTTGAAAAATTTGGCTGGAAGGAAGTGTTTGGTGTTTGGTGTGAGAGTTGGGTGTGATTGATGTTTGAAATTTGACTTCTTGATAGGGCGTGAGATAATCTGGACTAGCAGACTAGATCTGAGCTTCCATCATCTGAGAGTAAATCGACAAATGAAGTGCATTCAACACCTTCGATCATCTGAATGTTCTGACAAAATTCAGAACACCAAGAAGCTTTCATTGTCTGAACGCAGTCTAGACCATTGAAAACCCCGCTTCCAGATATGTCTCAAACCTAGGGCAATAAAAGCCCACCCTATCTCAAAAATCAATGGAAAAAACAGAGGCCTACCACTGTCTTCCCCAGCAGGGATATAACCCGGAATTTTCTCTTCAGCCAGCCTCCACATTTCCGATCTAGTCTTGCTATGAATCCCATCACCACCGACCAGTATATCACCTGCGAATTCCGATCCATCCGTCATGATTGCTTTGACACCCTTCTCATTCATATCGATCTTCGCTAGACGCTTCTCGGTTAAAACCTTGGACTTATCTCTGATGTTATCATATAGCACCTTTAGCACCGCTTGTCGATCGAGAAATAAAATGGGATATCCATGTCTATATTGCATTAGAACATAATCTCGTTCTCCAAATAGCACTCGTATGCATTTAAGTATATAAGTATATAAGTATATAGGTATTTACCTCTGTTCGAAAGAATGTCTCATTCCCGAGTGACCAGCAATTCTCTCACCCTTACTATTGCGAAAATTGAACTGCTCAACCGGAGGCGCCAATCCTAAAATCTTGTCGAATAATCCCAATTGGTCGAGGATCCTATTGCCGTTGGGGAGTAATCCAATACTAGCTCCTACTTGGGGAGCGATGGCGGGGTAGGCTTCTAGAATGATAAGATCGATACCATTCAGCTGAAGCATGTTGCCCAGCACAAGACCAGCCACACTGCCTCCAATAATAACAACTCTGAATGGGGTTTTGTGTGCCATCTTCACAGCTGTGTGTTTTCGTATCGTCGTATCGTCGTATATAGTAATCTTCAATGTAAAAAGAAGTTGCTGGAATCTTTGTTATTCTGCAAATGCAAAGAAAGATCAAAGCGCTTCTATATACTTGTCCCGTCAGAAAGTACACGACTTTGGGGTTAGAAAACAGGATATATCCTAGTGGTCGACTACCGCGTAGCGAATGCAAATAAAAATTGAAGTACTTGTCCTGCCAGAAAATATACAGCTCCGGATTTAGGAAAGGAAGAGCATTACTAGTGTGAATTACTATCGCGTAGCGAATGCAAAGAAAGATTTAAGTCCTTCTATATACTTGTCCTACCAGAAAACTACACAGCTTCGGAGCTATAGAATAAAATCATTCCTTGTGTGGCTTACTATCCCGTGGCATGTGCATTGACTAGCTTCGAAGCTGCATATGTTCTGGCTTTGTGAGTACTTGGAACGTTGTAACTCTCAGATTCATCGTTGGACCCGATCACCACGTGGAGACCAAATCATGTTGTTCATATAAACAAGAGCCCTGATGCTGGGAGAATAACGGGCCGCTCTGCATACTCACCATTTAGACAGATAAGAAAGTAAACTGTGCCATCCCATGTACGTCCTTGGCTCCTTGCATAATTCAACAATGTGACTTTGCTCCTGCTTCGCTACCCCAAAGACCGGCAGTGTGGTCCATACAATCGTTAGCCTGCAAATGACATATCCAATATAGAACTCACCCATGTTCCGCTACGAAGCCGTAACTCAAAAGTATACTTCGTTTGCACTTACCCTGTCAATATTCCTCAACCATCCAATCAAATGATCGGCTAGAAATCAATCAGGGGAATAAACTTCCGGGAATTCAACGGCGATCAACTCAAAAGTGGATGGTAGATAAACAAGTGGAGCGCTACACGAAACGTAGTGCAATTCTCTCCCTGCCCAACGAACCACATTCATGAGAAAAAAATTGAAGATATATTCCCAAGGGTCAACATTCCGCACTCTCCACTCCCGAATCCTTTCAAACGGTTTCTGACTGCATGAAGAAAAGGAGGGACGTTGATAAACGTGAACGAGTTCTGAATTGAACGAAAGCTACATGATGATGGAATGAACGACGGCAAGATGATAATGGAACCACCTGTAACATTCATGGGTATTACTACACGAAACGTCTGTGTTACCTCGTACTCTATATACCTTGCTCAGGGCAGGTGTTCCGAATATGAAGTATTCCCAAATAGGGCTTGCTCGGCTCATCGACCCCATGGTGTGTGATCTGACGAGGACGAAAGAGGACATCAATATTTGACCCCTGGCAAGCCGACATTAAAGTTTTCCTAGCTTACATGAAAAATTATTGGTAGCTATATGACACCCACACAGAAATAATATTTCCGCCGTTTGATGATCTCTCCCTCTTAGACATGGTGGTCGTCTATAGCTCTCGACAATACTTGAACAATTCGTTGTGGTGTTAGGAGGTAAGGCGTGCACAGATCAATGCTGTGTGTCCGTTCGTTGTATAATTTTGCTTTTTAAACTTTCGAGGTTTACAAAAAGAAACCGCAAATATGGAACCTCAGCCTGCCCCTCAGGGTTTTGCTCTTGAAGGCTCGACTTTAGAGAACGCCTTAAGACCTACAACCTCTCTGGTGTAAGTTATTACATTTCAGTCGAAGCTCACTTATCTATACGACTCCGGCAGTTGTGTAGTTCGATTGTTCTGTTTGTAGCGTCGTTTCTAAGGTCAACGTCATCAAAAGAGTGCCGGTGGTGTGCTGAGCACATATTAGTCCATCATGGCTTTGGAACAGAGGGCTCTTACAATTGTCATTGTCAATTTTGTATTTCTGGGACTATCGACCATTACATTAGCATTGCGATGCTTTGTTCGGGTAACGCGTGAAGCATTCGGCTTGGACGATTGGATGATAGTGGTGGGATGGGTATATAGAGTATCCTCTTCTCATAGATTGGCGAGTTTGCTAATTTGATGTAGATCATGTTCGTGGTGAATGTCTCCATGTCGACGATGTCCGCAAAATATGGCCTGGGTGTTCATAATCTTACTATTACTGCCGCAGAGATGGAGCCTGCAGTCAAGGTTAGTATATACATGCGGATAGTGGTATTGGACTCAAAGTTCCTAATTAAAGAGAACAGTACTTTACTATCTTTCAACTTTTCACCTTGACAGGCACATTGCCAGTCAAAGCTAGCATCTGCATCTCCCTAATGCGCATAACACCGAGCCTGACCTACAGAAAAATCCTCTACGCAATCATGGCAGGGTCCGTAGCGACAGTCCTCATTTCCGACATCGCTGTTATTGTAACATGTCGACCTATGGCATTCACCTGGGACAAAACTATTCCCGATGGGAAATGTAGCAGTATCAATGCTATCCTCATCCTAAGCTATTGTTTCTCGGCCATGAACATCATCACCGACTGGTCTACTGCTATTATCCCCGCATTCATAGTATGGAACTTGAAACTCTCTCCCAGAATCAAAGTCGCCATCAGTGTTCTCTTAGGAATGGGTATGTTCGCTAGCATAGCAACGATAATTCGTGTCAAATATTTTCCCAACTATGCAAAAGCAGTTGACTATCTTTATGGCGTGGCTCCCATCGTCTGGTGGTCTACCATTGAAATCGGTTTAGGAATAGTAGCAGCATGTCTCAGTGCTCTTAGACCATTACTCCGTTTTGCTTTAGGAAACGGTTCTTACGGCCCCTCAGACGATAGACCCAGTCCTCCAACTATTGCAACACCTCATAAAAAAGGCTACATGAAAGCTCGCGCCATCAAATTACGGAATATTGAAGACGGTCTTGCAACGACGATGATTACAGGAGCTGGGAACGACACTGCAGATAATTATAATGAAAGCATAAATGCTAGCGATGGGGATAAGAGTAGTCAAAGGGGGATATTACAGCATATTCCAGAGCATCCCGAATTGAAGTGTACTGGGAAGGAAGTAGGTATTTTGGTTACGCAAAGTTATAAGATTGAGGATGAGGCCACTGAAGACAATGTCTCTAAAGATAGAGGTTGTAAATATAATGGTACAATGGGTCAAGGGAACGAACAATACAGGGTCTAGTATAAGTATAAATTATGACGACTGGCTACGTGCCATATTTGCAATGACATTAGCTGGATGGAACACTTTGTGAGTATGTGAATATGAGAATCTGTAGGGCTTTGACTTGTGACAGGGACGATGAAATTTAATAAGAAATGATGATTTGAGTGTTGATTGTGTATAAGATGTTATTACTGAGTATTTTGAAGCTAAAGAAACGCCCAGAACTACCCGAAACGCTAAATTTCTCTAACCACTACATCCAACTCGGATGCAGCATAAATCGAATACACTTGACTGGTGATTGACAAACTTGTCTGCGTAGTCTGCTTAGTAGGGGAATAGAGCAAACGCGAGAAGAAAACAATGACTCAAAACTGTGTACATGTGCCGTTTTTGAAGCAGATAACATGATAAAAATGAACAATCTGCTGAGAACCGTGTCATGCTAAATAAACATATCGTATAAAGTGATTGCGTACTCAACGAGCAAACAGCTTTATCTAAGTATGAGAATACCAGAAGGCTGCTCCGGGTAGCCCGGGCCATTGCGACTGGTATACCCACAGCTTTACCACTAGAAGCCGAACCTTGTGGAACACAATCGAGAGCCGACTTGGATGTGAAAGCAGATCATTCGCTATCGAAAACTTTCAGAAAGATTGATAGCTTCATCGTCGCCAAAATGAGTGTTGACGTAAAGTTGAACGCTGGTGAGAAGGGTCGTGCCCCTTAAATACTATATCATGTGACGCGGCTGGCCCGAGTGACTAAAACGGATTAGCGCGTTCCTTGCTCACTGATCCAGCCGTTTACAATTGTCGTCGTCGCAAGTGACAAGGCCAGTTTTAGAAGCAATACAACCACATATCCTCTCCACATTTCAAGTCTCATATTTCGCAACATCCCCTTAGTCTGGGTATTTCTCAAATCCTCTTAATTAATTTCCACAATACTTGTACTTTCAAACTTCCGTTTGTTTTTAATTGAGCACGTTTCTGGGTAAACAGCGCCTCTGCGCAGATAGCTTGCCCACTACATTGGGTCAACAATTAAATAAGGCCATTTCCTTTGATCGCATAGATTCAGAGAATCAGCAAATATGGCTCCATTACCAATCAAGTTTACGGAGCTTCTCCAGGTATGAAATGAGTTGTGCGGTGATCGAATTGTTGACTTATGTTTACTGACTTTGATTTAGTTAACAAGTGTCGGGGTTGAGGTATGTGCCAGCCACAACACAGCTATTCTCACCAGCTTCTGCCATAACATTTTCAGCTTCAAACATCCAATCTCGATCTGGCTTGCTAACAATTAATCCTGCAGGCACAATCGATAGGTTTTAACTCATGTGTAAGTAATTCCGTGTTGTTTAATTGAGCTTTGGGCATGTGTTGATTACTCGAATAGACACTGGAGTCAGATTCCTACATCTGCGTACGAGAAAAGAAGAACGAAGCTGCACAACCAGAAGTCGTCATCGTTGATCTAAAGCAAAACAATGCTGTCACTCGAAGACCTATTAAGGCGGATAGTGCCATTATGCACTGGTCGAAACAGGTCATCGCATTGAAGGCACAATCAAGGACCTTACAAATATTTGACTTGGGCGCCAAGGCAAAGCTGAAGTCTGCTACCATGAATGAAGATGTTGTCTTCTGGAAATGGTTCAGTGAGACAAGCTTGGGATTGGTTACCGATACAACAGTGTATCACTGGGATGTATTTGACCCAAATCAGGCATCTCCGGTAGAGGTCTTTAAGAGAAATCCAAACCTTGCTGTGAGTCCCATTTATTTTTGGGAGAACGAATTGTATTAATGTTAGGCTAGGGATGCCAAATTATCAACTATCGTGTTAGCGGCGATGGAAAATGGATGGTAGTCGTAGGCATTACACAACAACAAGGACGAGTGGTAGGAGCGATGCAACTTTATTCAAAAGACAGAGGCATCAGTCAGGCTATTGAAGGTCACGCGGCAGCATTCGGTACATTGCGATTGGAATCGGCCCCAGCAGATACAAAGGTGTTCACATTTTCGGTTCGGACTGCTACTGGCGCAAAGTTACACATAGTCGAGGTCGACCACCAAGCTTCGAATCCAACATTTTCGAAGAAGGCAGTCGATGTATACTTCCCTGCTGAAGCCGTAAATGATTTCCCAGTAGCAATGCAAGTTTCACAAAAATACAGCATTATTTATTTGGTTACCAAATACGGCTTTATTCACCTTTACGATCTTGAGACTGGTACATGTATTTTCATGAACCGTATCTCGAGCGAGACGATTTTCATCACAGCTGGCGATTCGGAATCTGCAGGACTCGTTGGTGTTAACCGAAGAGGACAAGTATTGTCGGTATCAGTTGATGAAACAACAATTATTCCATACCTCCTCCAAAACCCTGCGAACTCTGGTTTAGCCGTCAAGCTTGCTTCAAGAGCTGGTCTACCTGGTGCGGACAACCTCTATGCCAACCAATTCGAGCAACTTTTGGCTGCAGGAAACTACTCTGAGGCGTCAAAGATTGCTGCAAACTCTCCTCGCGGCTTCTTGCGAACCCCACAAACCATCGAACGTCTTAAGAATGTACCGGCTGTACCAGGCCAACTATCTGTCATCTTGCAATACTTTGGTGTATTGCTTGACAAGGGATCGCTGAATAAACACGAGACTTTGGAGCTTGTACGACCTGTCCTGGCCCAGAACCGAAAGCATCTTCTTGAAAAGTGGATGAAGGAGAACAAGCTTGACTGTTCCGAAGAATTAGGTGACATTGTCCGTCAACAAGATACACAGCTTGCACTAGCTATCTATCTCAAGGCAAACGTTCCTCACAAAGTTGTTGCTGCTTTTGCAGAGAGTGGCCAATTCGAGAAGATCTTACCCTACGCCCAACAAGCAGGTTATCAACCAGACTATGTCCAATTACTTCGTAACATCATCTCCATCAACCCCGAAAAGGGAGCCGAGTTCGCTACACAGTTGGCAAACACTGAGGGTGGTTCACTTGTCGACATTGAGCGTGTTGTAGACGTATTCCAGTCTCAAGGAATGGTTCAACCTGCTACAGGATTCTTGCTTGATGCATTAAAGGAAAATAAGCCAGAGCAAGGACACTTGCAGACTCGTCTTCTTGAAATGAATCTCATGAACGCTCCTCAAGTTGCCGACGCCATTCTTGGTAATGAGATGTTCTCACACTATGATAAGCCTAGAATCGCACAATTGTGTGAACAAGCTGGCCTTTCTCAAAGAGCTTTGGAGCATTATGAAGACCCTGAAGCTATCAAACGCGTTATTGTCAATATTGTTGCTTCACCAACTTTCAGTCAAGAATGGCTCACTGGTTACTTTGGTCGCTTGTCCCTTGAGCAGTCATTAGACTGTCTTGATGCTATGCTCAAGGTAAACATTCGTCAAAACCTTGCGGCTGTTGTTCAAATCGCGGTCAAATACTCCGACCTACTCGGTGCTGTCAGATTGATTGATCTTTTCGAGAAGTACAAGACTGCCGAGGGTCTCTACCATTATCTTGGTAGCATTGTCAACTTGAGTGAAGATCAAAACGTCGTGTTCAAATATATCGAGAGCGCCGCCAAGATGCAGCAATTCAACGAGGTGGAACGCATTTGCAGAGATTCCAATTTCTACAATCCTGAACGCGTGAAGAACTTCTTGAAGGAAGCCAAATTGACCGAGCAATTGCCACTCATCATCGTTTGTGATCGATTCAACTTCACTCACGAGTTGGTACTCTACCTCTATCAAAATCAACAATTTCAATCTATCGAGGTCTACGTTCAGCGTGTGAACCCAGCCCGAACACCTGCTGTTGTTGGTGGTTTACTTGATGTTGACTGTGATGAGCAAATTATCAAGAACCTTTTGAACTCAGTCAATCATGCTTCCATCCCAATCGATGAACTTGTTCATGAGGTTGAGACACGTAACCGTCTCAAGCTTCTATTGCCATTCCTCGAGGCAACTTTAGCTGCTGGCAACCAGCAACAGGCTGTATACAACGCTTTAGCAAAGATATACATCGACAGGTATGTTCATCATCACATAGTGCACGGTACTTTTCAGCTAACCATAACCCTCTAGTAACAATAATCCAGAGCAGTTTTTGAAACAAAACGACCAATTTGATACGTTGCTCATTGGGTTAGTCTTCTACACCCTCATCCATCGTTTTATTTACTGACCTTTTTATAGTTTGTACGCGGCAAAACGCGACCCCTCAATTGCGATTATTTGTTTCATGAAGGGACAGAACGACCTTGAGCTTGTCAACATCACCAATGAGAATTCCATGTACAAGGCTCAAGCTCGCTATCTATTGGAGAGAGCTGATCGAGAGCTTTGGGAGTTTGTTCTCTCAGAAAATAATCTACACCGCCGATCCGTCATTGATCAAATTATCTCTACAGCTGTCCCCGAATCAACTGAACCCGAAAAGGTCTCTGTAGCAGTTGCGGCTTTCCTTGGTGCTGATCTTCCGGGTGAATTAATTGAGTTACTCGAAAAGATCGTCCTCGAACCTTCGCCCTTCAGTGACAATGAGAGCTTGCAGAATCTTCTCATTCTCACCGCTACCAAAGCTGACAAGGGCCGAGTCATGGATTACATCCACAAATTAGACGCATTCAACCCAGCGGATGTAGCTTCTATCTGTATTGAAGTTGGTTTGTATGAAGAAGCATTCGAGGTTTACAAGAAGATCAACGACCACACTAACGCTGCAAATGTACTCGTTGAGCACATTGTCAGCATCGATCGTGCGAACGACTATGCTGAGAAAGTAGAGCTTCCTGAGGTATGGAGTAGAGTCGCCAAGGCTCAATTGGATGGTCTACGTGTAAGCGATGGTATTGCCTCATATATTCGCGCCGATGATCCAAGCAATTATCTCGAAGTCATTGAAATTGCAACTCATGCTGGAAAGGACGAGGACCTCATCAAATACCTTCGTATGGCCCGCAAGACTCTCCGTGAGCCTGCCATTGATACTGC